TGGGGGGTTTTTGGGGGGATTTTGGGTCAGGGATTTTTTTGGGGTGTCCCCCGGGGATTTTGGGGTGTCCCACCCGTGGATCCCCGAGCACTGGATGGGATTTGGGGTGGATTTAGGGGATTTTGGATGGATTTAAGTGCCCAAAAATGGGATTTTTATGGGATTTTTGGGTTTTTTGGGGGGTTTTTGGGGGGATTTTGGGTTCAGGGATTTTTTTGGGGTGTCCCCCCGGGATTTTGGGGTGTCCCACCTGTGGATCCCCGAGCACTGGATGGGATTTGGGGTGGATTTAGGGGATTTTGGGTGGATTTAAGTGCCCAAAAACGGGATTTTTATGGGATTTTTATGGGATTTTTTGGGTTTTTTTTGGGATTTTGGGTTCGGGATTTTTTTGGGGGGGTTCAGGGATTTTTTTGGGGTGTCCCCCGGGGATTTTGGGGTGTCCCACCTGTGGATCCCCGAGCACTGGATGGGATTTGGGGTGGATTTAGGGGATTTTGGGTGGATTTAAGTGCCCAAAAATGGGATTTTTATGGGATTTTTATGGGATTTTTGGGATTTTTTGGGATTTTGGGGGGGTTTTGGGCTCAGGGATTTTTTTGGGGTGTCCCCGGGGATTTTGGGGTGTCCCACCTGTGGATCCCCGAGCACTGGATGCACAGGGTGATGCCCAGGTTGACGCTGGCCCATTGTGGGGAGGGGTCCCGGCAGTCGCAGCAGCTCCCGTTCCCCTCCAGCCCCAAAACCGCCCCCAAAACCGGGGGGGGCTCCGGGGGGGGCCCCGAGACCCCCCGGGACCTCTCGGGGGGCTGGGGGAGGGGAGAGAGAAAATCGGGGACCCCCCCCAGGGAGATTGGGGGGGGCTGAGGGAGGTTTTGGGGGGGTGGGGAAGGGATTGGGGCCGGTTTGGGGGGGATTGTTTCGGGGTATTTGGGGGTGGTTTTTGGGGTATTTGGGGGTGGTTTTGGGGGTATTTTGGGGTGTTTCGGGGTATTTTGGGGTGATTTGGGGGTGTTTTTGGGGTTCCCACCTGCCCCGGGGCGCTCTGGCCGTAGGCGCAGGCGATTCCGCTCTGGACGGCGCTGACCCAACGCCGCTGCCCCCCCCCCGAATCCGCCTGCAGGACGCAGCTCCTGGGCCCCAAAAATGGAGATTTTGGGGTCCCCCAGGAGGTTTCGGGGTCCCCCAGGAGGTTTTGGGGTCCCCCAGGAGGTTTCGGGGTCTTCTCCCGCGGGTTTTGGGGGGAGATTTGGGGACCCCGGGGTTGTTTGGAGCTCCCCGGTTTTGGGGGTTGGGAGATTTTGGGGGGAGTTGATGGAATTTTGGGGTTCCCTCCAAGTTTTTGGGGTGCCCCGAGAGGATTTTGGGGTGCCCCGAGAGGATTTTGGGGTCTTTCCCTGCGATTTTGGGTCTTTCTGGGGGGAGATTTGGGGTTGTTTTAGGTCTGGAGACCCCTCGCCTTTTGGAATTGGGATTTTTTTTGGGGTCCCCCGTGAGGTTTTTGGGGTCCCCCGGGGTTTTTTGGGGTCCCCCGTGAGGTTTTTGGGGTCCCCCGGGGTTTTTTGGGGTCCCCCGTGAGGTTTTTGGGGTCTCACTTGGACGGGGAGACGACCTCGAAGCAGAAGCGGCGCTCGAGGTCGGGGCAGGGTTTGACGGTGCAGAGCCTCAGATCCTCCACCACCACCGTGGGGGGGTCCTGGGGGACCCCAAAATCTCAGCCCGGGGGGTCCCCCCAAAATCCTGAACCCCCCCAAATCCGCTGGCAAAACAACCCCGAAAAAGCCCAAAACCCTAAAAAAGAAAAACCTCACAAAAGCAGCCCTAAAACCGCCCAAATCCTAAAAATCACCCCAAAACCTCTCCAGGAACCCCCAAAATCCTCCCGGGACCCCCCAAAATCCTCCCAGGACCCCCCAAATCCCCCCCAGGACTCCCCAAAACCCCTCCAGGACCCCC